AGCTGTGTTCGCTGGCTGGTGTGGCTGCCCCTCCAGCCCCCCCCCAGGACAGAGCAGCCATGGTGGAGCAGGCCTGACCCCAGCCTCTGTTTTCCAGGACGGTCCAGCCCCCACGGGAGCCTGCCCTCCTATCCCACCTGGGGTGGCCTCCCCCTCCCTGCCTCGTCCCTCTGGGTGCTCCTCCCGCTGCCCTGCCTGGGCTTGTGGCGGGGAGTTCCTCAGGTTCCCTTCATGTGATGGGAACGATTACCCTTCATCCTGCCTTCTCCTTCAGGCCAGTTGTTGGTGCCCACCCATGGTGTAGCCCAGGCCCGCTGGCAACATCCCACCAGGTCTCTAGGGTCTGCAGCCTGCCCTGGAAACTCAGACACCCCCCCCAGTTGCCCCTCCAAGTTGGCTTGGCTCTGGGCCATGCGGCCTTGTGGTAACATCCTGTGGGCATCAACAGTGGGCCCCTGCCTCTCCCTGGGCTGGGCCCATCCTCCCCCAGCGAGTAGATGGCCAGGCAGGGTAGCTGGTCATGTGGCCCTCCCAGCAGGCGAGCTTCACCTCAGCAGCAAAGCGGCAGCGGCGACAGCAACGTACCTGCAAGCCATGGTTGGCATACCCCAGGCCCAGCTGGCGGCAGGCTACCGTGGCTTCAAGGGTCCCCCAGCCTTCTCCGCAAATCAGCCCCCACTGGCGGGTGTGGTTGCCCCTGGCCCCCACGGCCACTTCAACCCGTCCCTCAAAACGGCTCCGGCCCCCGCTCAGGCGGATCTGTGGGGAAAGGTGGGAGGGAGGCGACAGTGCCTGAGCTGGGGATGTGGCAGTCGCCCGGGCAGATGGCGCGCCACCTCCTGGCTGCCATCCCTTCAGTCTGCCAGGAGCGGGAAGGCTCTCCTGCGATCAGATTGGCCCCCTCCTCTCTGGCCTTCCCAGGTTGGCCCTCAGGTGCCCCTTTGCAGCCTCCTCTCTCTAGTCTGCCGGAGACTTCCAGGGGAGGGAGAGGGGGAGGAAAGGCAGCCCCCCCCCCGATGCATATCAAGCCTCCTCCCTGAGCCTGGATCTGGACCCTGCTTCCCAGAGAGCAAGAGGGGTGGAGCAGGTTTGGGTGGCAAGGATGGCACAGGGGCACCGGAGTTGGACCCTGGCCCAAATGTAAAAGGGGGGAGCAATGGAGGGGTTACTGCAGAGCTGGGGGTGAGGAGAGTTCCTGGGATGCCATTGGGGAGAGACTACTCTTAGACACGTGGCAGTCACGCTTTGGTGGGGAAGAGGGCCACTCTCAAGGAAGAAGCCCTCGAGCTGGCTGGTGCCCAGCAACGTGCAGGACTGCTGCAGGTTGCCGATGGTGCCCCCTAAAAGTGGGTGTGGGTGCCCTGAGAGCTTTTGCTCCCAGCTGGGTGGGGGGTGGGCTGCTCAGGCAAGCTCGCCTATAAGAGGCCCTCCCCATCCCTCCCAAGAAGCCTGGCTGGGGGGCACTCAGGAGCCAAGGGCGCCTTGCCCCATCTGGTGGGCTGTGGGGAGAGGGGTCCCTGGCTCTGGGGCTGCCCCCAAGAGTCTTGGCTGGGCTGAGCAGGCAATTGGAGAGGGAAGGCCAATGTGCTCGCCCTGCCCTGCCCTGCCCCGGCCCTGCTTCCTGCTGTCCAGCCAACCGTGGTCTCGTAGGCCATGTAAGGGGCGTTGCAGCGGACCCCCGCGTCTTCTGAGTGCTTGCAGTCCTGCTGGGTGATGTTCTTGGAGGGGCAGCTCCAGAGCGACTTCTCTGAGCCCCGGCACTGCACC